CTTTCCCTTTTATGCTTTCTTGTTCCATACCCTCCTCCAGCTGCGGTGCTGGTCTACGATGTGCTGAGTTGTTTCAATACTAAAGAGCTAGGTGAGGAAAAATGAGAGGGTAGCTTTCTTCCAGGCTAACAGACTTTAACAGTTTGACAGAGCACTTGGTCAGCATTGCGACTACACAAGAGAGACGTATGGGCCATGGGTTTTATCCTCAGAGGTGCCATTGCAGTTGTATGTCACGCATGTTTGTGTAGAGTTGATGAGAAGCTGGAACCACTGGAGAAAAGCGCCTTGCTTCAGTGGGCAGCACAGCCACTAAAAACTCAGTGATAACCATAGAGATCAATAAATGCTGCTGCTAAGCTACAGAAACAGATTGTATAGTTAAGCGGCGAAAATAATAGGACAGTAAAAAGGCTTTTTTAGCTGAGTGGTGGGTGTAAACTACAGCAGATATAATGGGCATACCAAACTTTCTGTCCAGAGAACAGCAGTGAAGCTGGTGAAGGTTCTAGAGTACAAGTCCTGTGAGGAACAGCTGAGGGAACTGGGGTTCTTTAGTCTGGAGAAAAGGAGACTGAGGGGAGACCTTTTGCTACTGATACTACCTGAAAAGTAAGGTGAGGGTTGGTCTCTTCTCCCAAGTAACAGTGATAGGACAAGAGGAAATGGCCTCAAGTTGCTCCAGGGGAGGTTCAGATTGGATATTAGGAAAAATTTCTCCACCAAAAGGGTTGTCAAGCACTGGAACAGGCTGCCCAGGGAAGTGGTGGAGTCACCATCCCTGGAGATATTTAAAAGACATGTAGATGTGGTGGTGCTGAGGGACATGGTTTAATGGTGGACCTGACAGTGTTAGGTTAATGGTTGGACTCGATCTTAAGGGTCTTTTCCAGTCTACCTGCTTCTGTGATTCTATAACTTACAAGCAAGAGACGGTTCTCTGGGAGAAGAACTTCCACAAGCTAGTTAGTACCTTACTCATTTGCCTTACTGTCCTTACAAGATACTATATGATACCGAAGGCAGGTGCGTTTGTTGACTTATTTTTCCTACTCAGCTCATATTTCTGCTGTTTTTTCTTTGCTTATAAGCAAAAGTTTAATAGCAAAATTGTGTTTAAGATGGAATGCATTTCTTGATTGTGAAGAGACATTTAGGCAGTGGGAGGAGCCAAAACTGCCCATTTCTACTATCTCTTTCATCTAACTATTTATTTCAGCTTTTGTACTATTTAATAATCTTTTTCATGTTTCATTAGGTTAACACTAAGAACTTAATGCATTTATTATGTCAAATGAGTATGCATCTATATTCACTAGTGTGCATGGTTTATGTTCAAGAGTCCACAGTGTGTTGATATATATACCTTTCACTGTAATGAGAAAAAAAAAGTCTAAATGCAGCTAGATAGCAAATGCTTTAATATAAAACTTTTGAGATGATCTTCATACACAAGGATTCTAATTTTCCTAATACCATGCCTGCTGACATACACTGACGGCTTGGAATTGGAATCTGTAAGAGTGACAGTGCAAAGGGGTGAGTGGTAAAAAGTTGTGAGGAGTGCCATGTGGCTTTAATTTTGACTTCAAATTAAAAGAGAAGTCTTCTTGTGGTTCACGTGCCTAAAATTTTCCAGGCATTACAAGCAGACTAATTCTAACTTTAAAATGGATAATTCCTTAAAATGTCTGTGGCCAGATGCATCCTCAGTTTGCGAGTTTTTACTCATCTAATTAGATTAGATGAGTAAAAACTCGCAAACTGAGGAATCTCCTGCAGTCTGGAAAATAGAAGGTTGTGCACAAGCGTCAGTCGCAGGCTACAGAGCTCACATTAAATAAGATTATTTTTATTTCAGTAGCCACATCAGCCACATGCTGATGTTTGACTCCTTTTAAGGAATAGAAACCCTTGTACTGTTAGACTGAAAAGGAAATACCGTGATGGGATTCAGAAAAGTTTTTCTTCCCTTATCGGTATTTACCATAATTCAAGTAGAGGGCTTTGTATATTTTGTAGGTACGTGTTCTCCAACACTTGAGTTGCATCAACCCAAGTTTTCCTTCAGCATCAAACATTTGCTCCAAATTTATTTCTGCTGTCGTGCATTACTTCCTCTCAGCTTCTGACACCTACCACCTGCAGATGATCTCCCAGTACCACTGATGAAGGAAGCAAATAATACCAAATACATATGTACATATTTGAAGAAGGGTTTTACTGATGCAAGAGTTTGTATTGTGTTGCCTCAAGAGCAGTAGTTCACCAGTATTTTCCCTCTCTTTTTCAGCTTTTTTTAAAATCACTTTTCCCCGGTGAGAATGGCAAGGATTCGGATCCCTAGCACAATTGTTATACTTTTTGTTACAGTTCAGGCTGGATTCTTACTCTTCATGTATGCCCGGTACAGCAGCTTCATGCCTCAGTCTGGGGAGAAACCATCTCAAGTTCACATCCTCATTCTCTCCTCCTGGCGGTCGGGATCTTCTTTTGTTGGTCAACTTTTCAGCCAGCACCCCAGCGTCTTCTACCTGATGGAGCCTGCATGGCACGTGTGGGTGACGATGTACCAGAACAGTGCCAAAGCCTTGCACATGGCAGTGCGGGACCTAGTCAGGTCAGTCTTTCTGTGTGACATGTCTGTGTTTGATGCTTACATGCCTTGGAAGAGAAACTTATCGGATCTTTTCCAGTGGGCAGTGAGTCGGGCTCTGTGTTCAGCTCCTGCTTGTGACTCCTTCCAGCGTACTGACATAACCAGTGAAATGGCGTGCAAGACTCTTTGTGGACGGTACCCGTTCAGCAAGGTGGAGGAAGCCTGTAAAACTTACAGCCATGTTGTCATCAAGGAGGTTCGATTCTTTGACTTGAAGGTCCTCTACCCCCTTCTCACTGATCCGTCCCTGAATCTCAAAATTATTCACTTGGTCCGTGACCCCAGGGCAGTCGTCAAGTCACGGGAACAGTCGGTCAAAGCCTTAGCCCGTGACAATGGAATTGTTCTGAGTACCAATGGCACTAAAGTGGAAGACAGCAAATACAAAGTGATGCAAGAGATTTGTAGAAGTCATGTTCAGATTTATGAAACAGCCACTCTAAAACCACCTGATTTCCTTAAAGATCGCTATTTAATGATCCGATTTGAAGACCTGGTCAGAGATCCATTTTCAGAAATCTCAGAAATGTATAAATTTGCAGATCTTAGTTTGACCCCCGTGCTCAAAAGCTGGATCTATAATATCACACATGGCCAGGGACCAGGAAAAAAAAAAGAAGCCTTCAAAATCACTTCTCGAGATGCAGTTAGTGTTTCACAGGCCTGGAGAAATGTTCTTTCCTTTCAGAAAATTAAGAAAATACAGGAAGTTTGCAAAGGTGCTATAAACATGCTTGGCTATCAGCTGGTGGATTCAGAAAAAGAACAGAGAGATCTGTCATTGGATTTAGTGTTGCCGAGACGACAAAATCAATTCAGTTGGTCATCATTTAATCCAAAGCACTGAGACATTGTTTGTGAGAGATCTGGGGCGGGGGGAACAGGGGGCAGGCATCTACTGTGCAGCATATAGGTAAGTTGAAGATCCTTGGCTGATGAGTTTAACTATCTTTCTGTCTGCTGTTTTTCTGTAATGGAAGGAGGTTATTCTTCTGACTTTCTTAGACTGCAGAACCAAAAAGCATGAGAAATACTGCAAAATACTTGTCAGATTGTAAACTTGCAGCTGAGCTGTGCTGTTCTCAACGTTGTTTTAAAAATATAATTTAAGTACTTTCTATTAAAAGATGAACTTTGAAAAATGTCTGTGTTCACTGATAGTAGTTCATTCTGTTTTCGTGCTTAAAATATTGTAAGAATCTCAATTCTTAATTTGTATAAATGAACAAAGTAGAAACTAAATTCCTTCACTTTCTGCCGGAATCACTTGACTTTCTTCTTCTGCTTTAAAGTTGTTTCGCGGTTGTGTATTTTTTAAAGGTTCTCTTGATGTTTTAAAGTTGCCCTAAGAGGTGGGGCAACTGGAACAGTTCTTCTGTAAAAGGCTTAAGCCTTCTTGATAGATTTTTTTTTGTGCTTTCTGGGGAATGGCAAAGTTTGCAACTGGATACTTGAATGCAATATTAGCAAGGAATGGAAAAAGTAAAAGACATGAAGAAACTTTGAGCAGAATCACTGTGGAAATAGCTTGTTAATGCTGCTGCAATCTTGCCTTCTTAATGCTGTGACAGAGCAGGCACACACGTGCTCCTGCAGCGCGCTCTGGGTGCTGGGAGGTCGGCCCATCGATGCTGTGTCTCATTGGAGGGCTCCCTCTAGGGCCACACGCATTGCTTCTGGTGATTTTCCCAGGTGTTCCCAGAGGTATTGTGGGGCCTGTGGAGCCATATTTTTTTGTCTTGGTGCCTTTTCCATGGACTCTGAGGTTGTGCTGGGATCTCTGTTGCATTCCTCATTTTTTTGTGGGCCAAATTTGCTTACTTAGGTTATCTGGTGCTTCTTCCCCATGTCAGGGAACCTGGAATTTTTGGGCAGGAAGGGTATCTGAGCTGTTGCCTATAGCAACAGGTGGTCTTTCGGGCTCCCCACAAGAGGCGTGGACATACTGGAAAGAGTCCAGTGAAGGGCCACGGAGGTAATGAATGGAGTAAGGCATCTCTCACATGAGGAAAGCCTGTCAGAGCCGGAACTGTTCAGCCTGGAGAGAAGGTGGCTTGGCTCCAGCGACTCGGCTGCTGTATGTGGCTGTCAGTGTTGCAGGAGCCATGGGAGTGATGGACTTTGCTATGCTTCTCCCAGAAAGCTCTGGCTGATGAAATTGTGTCACAACAGATACCAGCTCTCAGCACCACCAGACACGGATGACTAGCACAGGCCTTGTGCTGTCCTGTTGCTTTTCCTGCTACCTGCAATGGATCTGCAATGGCCTTACAGATCCCAGATACCTCTAAAGGCTGCTCCAGACCCCCCCAGATGCTGCCCCAAAGCTGCTAGCAGTCCCCAAAACCCTTCCTCAAAACTCCTACTGGTCCCCAAAACACTCCTGAAAGACCCCCCATAGTCCCTCTTTCCATTCCTTTATCTGTCTCCCCACCCTTCTTTTCTTCTCCCCATCCCCTTTCTGTATTCCCGTTCCTCTGTCAAGCTGAAGGTCTGGCATTCCCATGTGTTTTACCAGTGTTTTGAGGTGCCAAGAGCTGGTGGGTCCTCAGTGGAGTTGAGCAACAGTGAATGGAAGGTGCGGTTGATCTGTCTCAGATGAATTCTAACATCTCTCCAGACATTATTGTTGCTGGGGCACAGGGCTGTTGTTTATGCACTGGGGGAGCACCAGTGGGCCAAGATGCTATGGGGAGGGTATCGTTGATACCCAAGAGACTTGTGGGGTAGGTGTCAGGAAGAGAAGCCAGGTATTTGGGTGTTGGGATAGCTGCCTGTAGTAGGGTAATCTGGAGTTGCTGTTATTGTCTGTCCTCCACCTCGGTGCGCAGGCCATCCTCCGCATATGCTATTATTGCCTCTTGCTCGCCCACATGGGGCTGTCTTGTTGAGCAGCTTGACTCGTGAGTGTGGTATGTGATTTCCTGTTGGATGTGTCCTTATGTAAACAGCTATCTTCCTTGCATTGGCCTCCGTCTGCTCCACCTGCACCTCTCTGCAGCAGCAGCTTGCACTTGACTCCAGTCTGTCTTGAGCTTCTTTTTTGTGTTAGGCAGCCTGTGGAAGTGAGGCAAAACCTTGCTTCTCTCATTGTCCTGGCTAGTCTGTTTCCCATTACTTTAGTCTCTCTAGTGCTTGGAGTGTGTGATTATTCAGTGTGGGTCTGTTATCTGGAGTGGATTATCTGTTGTAGGTTATCCCGGGTGAGTCCTCTGTTGTGGATTATTGAGGTGGACCTGCAGTGTAGGTCATCCCTGTGCAACTTTCTGCCGACACATACCTGTCAGTAAGTGTCTGTTCATCCTCCCGCTTCGTGGCTGTGTCCTCCCCACGGTCTAAGTCTTCGTGTCCCTCTGCCGTCCAAAACGCTTTCCACCGTAACATCCCCCGTGTGATGTTTCTTAATGATGTACCCTCCATCCCCTGCCCTCTTGTCTTGTGCCCCCACTCCCCACCTCCCTCCTCTCCCGCTTCCGCCCCAGATCTGGGCCCCCCTTATTGAGAATTTCCCTCACAACCCTTCTGCTTCTGGATGCCCGAGGCGCTGCGTGCACCCTTCTGCCTGCCCGTTGCCTCCTACTCCTCGCACCTCATTCCATCCCATTCTCCCTCCTGGAATTTTTTGGCTCAGTGTCGGAAATGGTGTCGGTCACGCTGGGAGGTGGTGGTTTGTCCTGAGCGGTGCTCACCCCGTGTCAGGGGCTGTTCTGCTCATCACCCTGCCCCACTGACAGGCTGCGCCAGGGTGCACGGGGAGTCAGGACAGCTGGCCTCGAGTGACCAAAGGGAGGATGCATCGTTCAGAGACCATGTGATGACATCACATTAAGCAATAAAAGGAGGGGGGTGGGGGGGAGATTGGTGGCCAAGCTTCAGTCCGTGGTGAGCGATTGTTTCACTTTGTATCACTTGTCTTTCCTGGGTTTTATTATTCTCTGGTATTTCCCCC